TGGCCTTTAGGAGTGTTTTCCAGTCCAGTCTGTTGGGGCACCACGGCCTGGCCCCAAAGTCCACCTTCAGCATTTCCTGAGGACCTTGCTGCTCCCCTCCCTTGCTGTTCCACTGCAAGCCCCCAGTGCTTTGCCTCGGTGTGGTGGGATCAGATCAGGCGCAATTCCCACACTGTGTATCCAGTGCTGTCCCCTGTAGGGCTTGGGTCAGTGAGGGACGTCCTGTCTCATAGTGGGGCCAGCTATGTGGTCCTCTCTGTGGACTGGTTGCTCTAATTGGGATCATGGTCCTCAAGGCCTGGTGGGCCAGGATGTGCTCCACTCTCTCCTACTCCCCCCTTCATCTGCTCCCGTGTGCTCCAATCAGATTTCTATACTACCTACCTGTAAGGTTGATAGGAGGATCAAAGGAATCTACAAACGTTTTCCAAATACTCATGGGCTATGAGAGAGTATACTGTATAGGAGTCTGAGCCTTACCTTCTGAAGCCAGCATTCCAAGAAATCGATCAGCCAGTTCCTGAGGGAAACTCCAATGCTCCGGAAGGCACAGGGTCCCATCAGGTCTCTTGGAACACAATTTCTCCAGGTTAGCAACGAGGGTGTTCAAGCAGATAGTGACCAGAGAGTAGGGAGATGCCTCCTCCTATCAAACAAACCCCAAACAAACTTTGTTAGACTACATTTGCATAAAATTTAATAGAAGATGGATATATCAGACATAAAATCTGAAAGTCTAAGGCTATGAGTCCTGGATAAAAAAATGTAACAAACATACTTTTAAGTGCAAAGTAAGGAAAACCTCCAGACCCTCACTCTCCTCCCCCTAAAGCTTTGACATTTTCCAGTGTCACTGACCAGAGACTAAGCCCAGTCTGGAAGTCAGGATGGGCATTTGTAGACTGGTGAGGTTGACAGCTGGGAGACTGCCATCTGTAACTGGGCTGGTCCATCGTCATCCATGTTTAACACAAAGGTGGGACAGTGGTATCCTTCCAGGTCTAGGGTTTCTTCTGGCAAGTATAAGGGGAGGGGAAGAGGGCAAGGGGCTTGAGGGTATCTGCGAATAACTACCCTCAGGGTCATCAATTAAAAGAGCTGATTTGCAAACAAATCACTTAGTATGGAAGCAATGTATCATCAGACAGCTTTGTCAAGTAGTTTTCAGACTATCCAGGTGTCACATTACTGGACATGGACGTCCCATTTGAAAAATAAAATATATCAAAGGTTAAATCAATGTTTTAAACATATTTAGAACAAGTATAAAATATAGGTAGTCTCAGAGTTAGGAAGATCCACACTTAGAACCATCTAGTTTGGGTTTTTCCTTTATTTTTTGGTACATCTTATCAGTAGTAATATATACTACATACAATACTACTCTTAGATATTTACTCATAGATGTTCAATGATGGGACTTATAAAGATAATGAGAATGAAAGGCAATAATAATGAAAACCAAAAAGACGTATTCAACTTAATCAGAACCAACTTACAATGAACTCAAAGGAGCAGACCCCACAAGAAGTCAGGGACGACCTAGATGTTTAAAGCTGTTACTATGCCTATGACATAGCTTTAATTGAAAAGACTAATAACATATTGAACTGAAATAACTGAAGAAAAAAACAAACACACCTCAAGCTGCAATACTGAAAGATTCTATGGGCACAGTATTGGCCAATGGAGGAAGCATCAAAAGAAGATGGAAAAAAATACACAGTCACTGTACCAAAAAGAACTAGCCAACATGCTAACATTCCAGGAGGTAGCATATGAACAAGAGCCAATGGTGCTGAAGAAAGAAGTTCAACCTACACTGAAAGCATCAGCCAAAGCAAGGATCTAGGCGCTAGATCCTTGATGGAAGGACTGGGAGCATTCACTCATCCATGCCAGGAAATCTGGAATACACCTGCCTGGCCAAGCGACTGGAAGAGATTCATATTTGTACACATCCTACAGAATGATGATCCAACAGAATGCTCACATTTTGAAAAATACTGTTAATATCACATGCAAATAAAATTTTGCTGAAGATCATCCAACAACGATTGCAACAGTACATTGACAGGGAGCTGCCAGAGATTGAGGCTGGATTTAAAAGAGGATGTGGAACAAGGAATAACACTTCTGGCATTAGAAAGATCTTTGCCAAAAGCAGAAAATACCAGAAAGATATTTACTTATGTTTCATTGACTAGACAAAAGAAATCCAACTTTATGGTTCGTAATGAACTCCGGATAGCCTGGAGGCCTGGGAACTGCAGAACACATCACTGTGCTCACATGGAGCCTATGCACAGATCAAGAGGGAGTCGTGCAATCAGAGCAAGGGATGGATGGTTTAGAATCAGGAAAGGTATGTGTCAGGATTGTATCGTGTCACCACACTTATTCAATCTGTATGCTCAGCAAATAATCAGAGAAGCTGAACTACATGAAGAATGTGACATCAAGATTGGAGGAAGGCTTATTATCCTGAAATATGCAGATGACACAATCTTGGTTGCTGACAGTGAGGAGGACTTGAAGCACTTGTTGATGAAGATCCAGGATTGCAGCCGTCAGAGTACAGCTCAAGGGAAGGAAGACCCAAACCCTCACAACTGGACTCATAGGTAACATCAAGGTAAATGGAGCAAGGTAGAAGTTGTCGAGGATTTCCCCTTGCTTGGATCCACAATCAATGCTCACAGAAGCAGTAGTCCAGGGACGAGACAATACACTGCACTGGGTAAATGTGCCGCACAAGACCTCTCTAAAGTGCTGAAAAGCACTGTGAGGGATAAGGTGCGCCTTGTCCAAGTCATGGGTTGTTTTTTTCAACTGACTCATCTGCATGTGAAACTTGGAGAGTGTATAAGAAAGGCCAAAAAAGAATCGATCTATTTGAATTATGACGCTGGTGAAGAGTATCAAAAAGTACCACGGACTGCCAAAAGGACAGACAAATCTGTCTTGGAAGAAGTATAGCCAGAATGCTCCTTAGCGGCAAGGATAGTGAGACTTCAGCTCGTGTACTTCAGACATGTCAGGAGAGACCAGTCCCTGGAGAGGACATTGTGCTTGCAGAGTAGTGGTGCACCAAAAAAGAGGAAGCCCCCAACAGGATTCACTGACACAGTGGCTGGTACAACTGTGAGGGTTGTACCGGCACGGGCAGTGATTCGTTCTACTGTACATAGAGTTGCTATGGGTCAGAACCAACTCAAGGGCACCTGAGAGCAACAACTAATAACAACTTGGAACCCCACACACTCCCCCCGTGCTATTTCCCATCCATCCGCCTAGAGAGCCCTTTCCTTGAATGCTATTTAGTTCTGTGTTATTTCTGAACTTTAGTGTCAGTGTGTGTTTAAATCAGTACTACAGCCCGGGTGGCACAAGTGATTGATGACTGGCTACTAACTAAAGGTTGGTGGTTAGCGTCCACTGAGTAGCTGTATGGAAGAAAAACCCACATATTGCTTCTATAAAGATAATCCATCCTATTTTCCTAGTGTAGGCTGCTTGGAGTAGGCTCATGGGCCTCAGGGACCCGGAAATTGAATGGTTCACTGAGCCACAGAGACTGCATCCTGTGGCTTTGCTGCAGTCACCGTGCCAGAAAACAAGCACACCGAGTTACACTGTAAGCTCGATGTGTATCGTTTGGGTTACCATGAGAAGAAGGAACGTCGAGAGGCTCAGGAACGTTCAAAGAAAGCAAAATGGATGATTTTTTTTAAAGGGGGGGGGGCGGAGAAAAAATGAGGAGCTGATACCAAGGGCTCAAGCAGAAAGCAAATGTCTTGAGAATGATGATGGTAACAAATGTACAAATGTGCTTGACACAATCGATGTATGTATGGATTGTGATAAGAGCTGTAAGAGCCCCCCAAAAAAGGTTTAAAAAAAAAGATTGGTCTGAAGGCCAAACTCTACCATAAGCAGCATCATGCTGAGAAAACACAAATTTAGAAAAAAAAAGACAATCGAGATGCATGAAGAACCACTAAACCAACGAATGAGAAGACTCCCTCCACAAGGTACCGTGCCTGCCTGTCTGCTGGACAAGAGGGGCACAAGCCCGAGCTAATGTACTTTCCAAAATGATCAAACAAACATGAAAAAAGAAAGCTGGAAAACGGGAAGCCTCTCTGCCCAAAGTCCATGCCCAGGGAGAAACGGAGGCACTAAAGGTTATTGGAACAGGAAAGAGAAAAAAGAAGGCGCGGGAAAGGATGCTTGCTAAGGTTTGTTTTGTTGGGAATAGCTTTACATGGAAACCACCAAAATATGGCACATGTTACCATACCCTGAACATAAAGCTGCCTTCTGCTTACCAGTACTCATATAAAGAAGAACCCCTTGTGCCCACCGTGTACAAGGTTGGGCGTTATTACCAAAGGTACCATCATTGAACGAGTGTGCGTCAGCTGGGCCTGGTGACACAAGGAGGCATGGTGATTGAGGGGAAATGTGCCGAGGTCCCCAACACTCCTGAAAACAATGGGTACCTATGTGCAGTCTTACTGGTTTGACGGCAGTTTCATACAAGGAACCGCCCCCCTCTTTATTTGTGAGGACATGTGAATCAGGAAAGCCACCATTATCGCCCTGTGTTTCTAGGTCCCACCCAACGGCTTAAATGTCTGAAGTCAGCATGAGAATTATTTATAAGAAAAAGAAAATGGTCCACTTGTATAAATGGTCTTTATTTTTACACCCACAGGGTTTGGGTGTTCTAAGACTGCATGCTTAGCAAAGCTCCATCAAATTGGACTTCTGTACCAACTAACTCTCCATAGTGATGGGCAGTCTCCCTCAGCAGTGCAAATATATGCGGACTTGGAAAAGGACTAGTGCTACTTCACATATGCGGGCAACTGACCAGACGCCTTCAAGTGGACTCCAAGACACGGGCCACATGGCTGTCCATAGAACCGGGCTCCGCAGAGGCTTCTTTACAGAGGGTAAGCACCAGACCTTTCTTCCCAGGGCCTCTGGGTGGGCTCAAACTTCTAACCTTCCAGTCAGCAGTGGGATGTGTAACTACGCAGCCCTGGGATTTCACTTAAAGTTAGCATGTACTAAAAGACGGGGCCTACGTTGCAACTGTGAATTCAGGAGAGTTCTGACTTACGTCTTCATCTCCATGGGTAATCTAGTTGGCATTTTAAGTTTTCCCCTTTTTTCATTTATAGACAAATGGAGCTTTATTTTGATATTACATTTTGGGAAAACACTGAAATGTTTGGGGTTGTTTTTTTTCTTTTATAGGGGAGAGCGTGGACACAGTACCCCACCACCACAAATTATGCAGTCGAGTTTCCCACATTTAGGGATATCGCAGGGGTCAGCACATCCGGAGTGCAATGAATGGATAAGCCTCGCCCTGGGAAGACCACCTTCGTGATCATGCTATCTCCCCTGCCAGGTAAGTATTTTGTTTTGTTTTTTTAACCTGTCATCTTTTATTGGGCACACTCTCAGGGTGGGGGAGGGGGCGCAGGCAGCCCCCTCTCCGCATCCTTCTCCGTGGTGCTTCCGGAACCGCTGGCGTTTGAGCTCCTGGCGAGAGGCAGTAGCTGAACACCACGTAGGCCGCCAACACCATGGACACACACGCCGGTGAGACGGTCCCCTTCCACACGTTGA